TTTAAGTACCATCTGGAGAGAAACATGTAAAATATCAGTATAAACATAAAAGAAATTTAAAAAAGAAATGATAATAATAAAATATTAGATAGAAAACATGACAAAACAAGAAAACATGATTTAACTAGAAAACATTAAAACATGATAAAATCAGAAGATAAAACTAATGTAGAAGTCAAGGTTACAACACAGGATGAAACTAAAATAATAAAGAAAACAATTGAAACAAGAAAAAAATATATGGAAGAGAAAACTTTAAGAATTATGTAGAAAACAAGAAAAAAACATAGAAATTCATGTAAGAGAAAACTTTAAAAATAAGGTAGAAAATAAGAAAAACATATTAATTTATATAAGTAAAAACCTTAAGACAAAAAACACAGAAATTTACGTAAGAAAAATCTTTAAGAATTAGGTAGAAAACAAGAAAAAATCTTTAAGAATTAGGTAGAAAACACGAAGAAAAAAAATGATATAAGGTAGATATGATCATGCTAGATTATGCATTATGAAACAAATGTAAAATGAATTAGTTTAAATAAGGTATAAAACTAAGGCTTGCAACAACTAAAGTAAAAGTAATATTAAACTTTTTTTCTGATTTTTTTTTTCATTTTAGGTAGAAAAATTAAGTACCAGAGGTGTTATAATATTGAAACTGTATTTTTATTTGATTTGATAATTCAAAAGATATAAATCAGACAAGAGGTACAAAAGTATGTTATAGTTGATATATTTAACACTAATTTTCAAGTGCAATAATGTCACATCTAAGTGTAATATAGGTTCAGGTTTCATCTTTAAATTCTTACTTTTATTCTATGTTCAGTAGGTTAAATCTTTAATTTACTTTAAAGTGACATTAATTGATTATGATCTTTTTTCATTGACAAATTTATAATAATACATGTATTTCAAAAGATTGACTGTTATAATGGTGATTGACCAACAGTTTATATTGGAAAATGTTTAGAATAAAATATAAATTTGTCTAAAATGTAATTTATTTGACTTATTATACTGTACAACATAATTGTGACATAAACTCAGGCACTTTAATCATCTCTAATCATGTATAAATGTAGTTAAACTCTCAGCCTGCTGGCAGTAACGCATTCTACTGACACAATAAGTGCAAATCAAGACCAACCGGCACATTGAATGTGTCATCTGATTATGGTTTGCACTGTTCGCGATTCAGCCATCTGATTATGGTGGTCACTATTCAGCGATCTGATTATGGTCTTCACTGTTCACTATTTAGCCATCTGATTATGGTCTTCACTGTTCACTATTCAGCGATCTGATTATGGTCTTCACTGTTCACTATTCAGCGATCTGATTATGGTCTTCACTGTTCACTATTCAGCGATCTGATTATGGTCTTCACTGTTCACTATTCAGCCATCTGATTATGGTCTTCACTGTTCACTATTCAGCGATCTGATTATGGTCTTCACTGTTCACTATTCAGCCATCTGATTATGGTCTTCACTGTTCACTATTCAGCAAGTGATTATGGTCTTCACTATTCAGCTAGTGATTATGGTTTTCATTGTTCACTATTCAGCTAGTGATTATGGTCTTCACTGTTCACTATTTAGCCAGTGATTATTGTCTTCAATGTTCACTATTCTACCAGTGATTATGGTCTTCACTGTTCACTATTCAGCAAGTGATTATGGTCTTCACTGTTCACTATTCAGCCAGTGATTATGGTGTGTCACTATTCAGCCAGTGATTATGGTCTTCACTGTTCACTATTCAGCCAGTGATTATGGTCTTCACTGTTCACTATTCAGCGATCTGATTATGGTCTTCACTGTTCACTATTCAGTATTATTCAGTGATTATGGTCTTCACTGTTCACTATTCAGTCAGTGATTATGGTCTTCACTGTAAACTATTAAACCAGTGATTATTTTGAAAAAAAATTCCCTAAAAATGATGAATGGTTTTGTCCAAATTGAAAGATGGACAAGTCTATTTAAAGATATTAGGCGTGGTAAGGGTTAATGATTTATACTTCTCAATTGAAATCATGTAGTTTAATCTTTCCTCTAGCATTTTTCATATATTAACTAAACAATCTCTACAAAAAACATATCCTTTAATTTGTTTTCATATTTTATTTTGTGCAAATATCTGTACCAAAGTTTATACTTAAAGCATTACTATTTCCTGTATTGAATTGAAAGTATATTTTATACCATAAAATCACATTATGAAAGTTATTGCAGGATAAAATAACAAACATACATCAATACTTTCACAAAGAAACCTTTATTTCCAGTCTTTTGTATAAATACCTTGTCAAAATATTTAAAAGACTATTAAATAAATGTAATTTGATTAAAAATCAATTTATTGGATATGGAGAATTGGCTATTTAGAAAAAAAAGTAGAAAATGTCAGGACTGGATATTTTGTTGTGCTTATAATTATACATTATTTATTCAAATGGATTATAGAATGTGCAACTAAATGAAATTTTAAGCTTTTATCTAAGTAAGTGTTTTATATAAAGAATGAGATAAATGAAGCCGTTTTAAATTGTTATGCTTCTTTTGATATACTGAGTTATCATTTGCTTTTATAATCTTAAGAGTATCAATGATCAATTTATCTCTTAAATTACTGGAATGAAAAGGGACTACCATTTGCCTAATCAGTATAGAGCCAGGCCAGCTGCACTTTGATTCATGCTTTCTGACCAGGCTTTATACTGTAGGATGACTTACTTTAAAGGAACTCCACTGAGGTCCAAAAAGCCAAATAACATGAATTTGAATTTCTTACAGACGTTAGATGAGGCACTTTAAACACAATGCTTTACAAAAGATAATTAAGAATTGTAAAAAAGAATGAATTAAAAATCGTATTGTGTGCTATTCTTAGACTGATTTTAGTGAATTTGAGAAATTTGGGTCATTTTTCACAATTCTGGAAAAATGGAGTGGGCGAATGATTTGAAATTTTGTACACAAGTTATTGGTTTATACCTCCAGCAAATGGAACATTTATCTCGAAAAATTATTTCCAGTCCTGTCATGTCAAAAAACCTCAGTGGAGTCCCTTTAAATTTTCATCTTGATATCTCAAAAATTTACTAGGTCAAGAGTTAAGACTTCAAGTGATGTTCAAGAAAATAGTAAATGCTGTAACTGCTTCATTCTTACATCATAATTATGATGGTACACAAAATAATGTAGGTGTTTAATCTTGTCAATCTTTCAATCAAGATAAAAATTTTCATCATTTTTAGGGGAAATTTTAAAATAAATGCTGACTAAAAAGCGAACATGATCATATGTCATGGATGTGAAGTGGTCAAATTTGTTGATTCAGATACCGCTGGCAGGCAGAAAATTAAGTTAAAACACACCTAAATGTTATGTTTCAAACCAGGTTAATTATACAACGTAATGATGAAATATGATGCTAAAACATTTTGAAATATTTACATGTCAGTCTATTAAAATTCAGAATAATTCTCTTGATTTCCGAAAAAAATCAATGTCTGACATAAGGTAATGAAGTTCTAATCCTAACATCAATTATTATTTCACCATATCTGATGTTTAACTTGATCTTCAACAACTAATGATAGTGTTTATTCAAGGTAATAACCGTAAAAAATAGTACAAATTCAGTATTATTTTGAATTAAAGAGACTCCAACCATCAATATCACCATTGAATTTTTTCCTATTGAAGATTTATGGAAAATCGGAAGAGAAAATTTAAAAACAGGAAACTGGGATAATAGAATTTATGGACGTGTAATTGAATGTACAAGGACGAAATATATATGTTTGTTGTTCAATAATTGAATGCATAAATAATTCCTTTCAAAAGATTGCATTATTTTTTTTTTTTTTTTTTTTTTTAGTAGATCTATGTAAAAAGGGTTTAAATATAGACAGTATTATACAATGGAATGCTATCTGAGACTAGAACAAGGAAATCTTGCTTAGATTACCAATATCAGTCAAAACAAACAAGTTTTCTTAATGTTTAAGGGTAAAATACTTATATCTATGTCTAAACACTTAAGATAAACTTAGTCAAAATTATCTAGGAGCAGTATAAATATGTTTGTACCAATGTTTGCAATTTAATAGGAGTCAAGTATTGAATTTATTTTTATTGCATAAAGGTTTAAATATTTAATGATGGGTCGTAAAATTGATTTTGAAAATTACATCATAAGTCTTTTTAAATTTGATTTATAATTAAAAGTCTTATTTTTAGCAAAGTCATTGCGTTTTATTACACAATAAAACATAGTGGTATCAGATATAAAATCTATAAAAAGAAAGAAAAAAATTTTAACAAGTTTACGTAATATTTAAAACAGTTTTTGTTATTTTTTTTTGGAATTCAATTTTATTTGAAGTTGATATTGATAGGGTCACTAAAAGGGGAAGATCACTAGGGCTGGAAGTGTGGATAACAATTTGAAAGTTTGCATGGATCTTGAATAGTGCCAAATTACGAAGGAAAATATTTGACAGTTTTGTCTACAAATGGGGGAAAATATGTAGACATTGGATATTCTTTTTAAATAATGAATAATATGTAGTTTTCAGTACAATTTTTCTCTGGTTTAGAATTAATTTTATATTAATGTAAGAATTTGAGCTTAATTTTTTTTATATTTTATTTACGCTAAATTAAAGGAATTAGAGCTAAAGTTAACTTTCATTTGATGTTAAAGAATTGATATTTTAAGCATTTTTGTTTTAGGTAGTACAAAAGACAATATCATCTAATTAAATGTATAAAAATAATACAAAATATTTAATTATAACATTAAAATTTGTGTTATAATATTTAAAAATTAATATCTTCGCAAAAGAAATTCCAGGGATAGGCGGAACTTAAAAAATTAAATAGGCATTAAAACAAAAGTGAGAAAAAATGTGCAAAATTTAATATGAGATTATCATGATTTACTTTCTTATGTAATATTTGTTGTTTTTGATAATCCTGTACATTTTATATACCTGTATGGTAGGAGGACGCTTAACAAGTAATGCTTAACTATTGAAATAGTATGGCTATTTATATATTTTGAAAGACATTAATCTGTGTGTATGGGGGAAAATGGAGTTTTTAGAAAAAACGGATTTCATCTTGATTGGAGACTAGCTGGTGAGATCTGGTGCAAATAATTGTAAAGATAGTTGTGATTTTTGTTCTTTGTTTATATATTGGTGCACAAATTAAAATGACAAGTTCAGTCAATGGTTTTGATGGTGGGTATTCGGTGTTGCCACCTATACTCAGTACCAGTAACTCTCAAGAGAACCTGGATATAAATAGCAACAGTGTTGATAAAAATAGTAACAATGTGGATAAAAATAGTAACAATTCAGACAAGAACAATACTAGTGATATAAATAGTAACAAGACAGGAAAAGGAACTGATGATGGCATATCTTTGCCAGAGGCACCTTTTAGTTCTATTTTGCAAAGCAGAAGGCCAACATACTCTGATGAAAATAGGTAAGCTTTGCCTTGTAATACTACATTAGATTTTATTTATTTGCCCTAAATTACCCTTCTAAATATCTTAATTGGACTTGTCCATTTTTCAATGTGGACAAGTTCATTCATCATTTTGAGGGAAAAATTTCAAAAAATATACTGGCTCAATTAAGCAAACCATCTTCAGTTTTGAGGCAACCAGAGGCTCAAAAGTGCCATATCCAGTACCAGACTGAAATTTAAACTCCTTGCATGAACATTATGGACGCTTCTAAAGTTAAGTAGGGCAAGTATGTTTTACAATTTTAGTATGTTAAGGAAAATGAAATCTTGGATCGTGAAGCTCATACCCTCAGTCAAGGTAGTTAAATTAGATGTAGTATACTAGTGTCTGATGAAGGGGTGTATAGTGTCTTTATCCATCAGTTATAGAAATGATTTTAATTCTTCAACTAAGATATTGTGATTTATACACCAAACTAACTAATATTCATTCACTACACTCCTTGCACCCTAACCCCCACCCCCTCCTACAAACCTCCAAAAACCTCTCCCCCCACCCCCGCCACAAACCATTAAAAAAAGTAATTTAGGAAATGAAGAAGAGCATTTAAGTTGAAAATCAATATGGTCTGTGTATACATGTTTTAAATGCAGACATAAATATTGTTTTGTATGTTAACTTTTCATGCATTTGCAGGCAGGTAATCAAAATTTCAAACTTTTTTTTACATTTATCAATTATTCATATCCTTTTCATTATTTGTTGAAAAAAAAAATTGATTAAAACCAACCATAGAAAATACGAGCATTGATCGTTCAGTATTCAATACAATATTCGTGCTTGTTCCAATGAAATCTAGTATACAGCATGGAAAATAAAAAACACTTTCGCATAATTAAATCTTGATGAAAATATATTGCCTCAATTGCAGAACATGTAGTTTTAAGTTTCAATTTCAAAAGCAGATTATCAGTTATAATACATAAAAATAGATGTTCCCAGAGGTTTTCTGAAGTTTTATTCATATTTCAAGTGTCTCATTTCTATTCAAGGTATAATTATTTGCATTTTACCAAAATTTTTATTCAAATGGATTTCTTTGTGTAATAATACAGTTTTACTTTCTCGGCTTAACAAGGTCAAGGTCAAGTTTTCACAGGCACCAGGCTTCTTTTTAAGATAATACCTTTATAGACCCAGGTTTGACAAACTAAAAAAAAAAACTGAAAATTGCTGCTTATTTATTTGAATTATGGTTGAATAAAAAAAATCTTCCGATGATAAAAAAAATTAATATTTCCATGGTATATTTCTGTCATTTTAGTAATTTGTAAATTAGATGAACTGGATACTCTAGGACTTTCAGCGCGTTTAAATTTTTAAACGCTTAACTTTTTTACTTACTGAATTACTTTCTTAAATGATGTAAAGCGATTTGAGTGCAAATGTCATGTTTGCTTTGAACATTGTAGAGCATAATGATCAAATCAGGATGGGTACAGTAAGTACAAGTCAGGGGCGTTCCTTTCAGTTTGATATTATTTCAACGCCCTAACAACTTTGTAATCAGCACTTTTTAAAGAAGATTCTCTTTTAAATTGACAATATGAAGAAGTGTTTATAGAAATACAGACCAACCTGTGTAAATGACAGTTTAAAAGTCTTAAAAATTGTGTCAGTTTGGGTTATTTTTCAATTTTAACCATATTAGTGCATGTCTTTTTGTTTTAATAAAATCCACATTTCCTCAGTTAGTGTGTTGTTTGTTAGTATGGTTTTAGTGTTTGCAAGGAGCATTGAAAGCTTATTTCCCAGCTCAAGATGAGTTGCAGACACTAAGGAAGTGGCTGTACCCTTGTTAAAGTAACTTTAAGTATATTTTGTGGTATGAACCAATCAACTCAGTATATTCAGTCCTAATTCTGCTTTGTTTTGAACAGATGTTATCCGGAACACAGCAGATGTGGGTTTTTTCCAAGAATGTTGATTTTAAAGGGTGGATAAGTCTGATAAGCTATTTTAAGAGTTATGCCCCCTTTTCTATGTCGCTTTTATTTTACTATAATCCAGCACTGAGAAAAGTGGAGCGGGTTGTCCGCGGACAGGTCTTGTTTTATGACATTATAACTGTCAAAGTTTGTTTTTACTCATAAATAACCTTGGAAAACACAAAACATTCTTATTTGTAGATTATAATTTAGAACTGTCAGTTGTTTCTTTTTGGAATCACAATACAAAATGAAGCTGCCTACGGAATAAGAATCTGGTTAGACTGTTATAACAGATACCCACAGCGGCCTACTTTATATTTGCGGCAAATCATTAGCCTTTAAACAGTACTCAAAGGATGAATTGATTTTTATCTGTTTTCAATAGTGTAACAACTGTAACTTTAACGATTGCACACTCAGATTTATTTGATGCATTTACTCTTATCACTCAAACCTTTTCTTCTATCAAAATTATTCAATATACTGTATAAAAGCCTTCTTTTCATAACTGACAGCATATAATGGATGTGTACAATACGAAAAATGTAACGCAAGTAGTTTTGATAGCCCCCATAATGCATTGGCAAAGAAATTTCTCAGCAGGTATATTGATTTGAAACTTGTTAACTTTTATCAAGAAGAAAATCCGATTAGGTTTTCTATTCAGAGTTTATTGATATAAGACAAAATGATTCATTTCTCCAGCAAATTGAAACATTCTGGACAAGATTAAACATGGAGACACATGACAGCTTCTATTTTTATTTTTTTGTCTTTGACCTCTTAAGCTCCTTGAACTGAAATTAATTTACCTTTGCCAGCTTGTTTATCTGTGCTGCTTGATGCTGGTAGCTGGTAGCAATTTTTTTTTTTTTTGTATCTCTATATTGAAATCTGTTGATTCACCTAACTGGCTTTCCTAGATAGCATTAACCAGTAATTACAAATTTCTCCACAAGTGACCAAAGATCGAACCTGTGAGTGAGCAGCTTTAGGATTACTAATCAGATATGCTCCCTATTGAGCTAAGCAAACACAGGCCGGTCAAGGCTATGTTTTTTACAAATGGCAATAGCAATATTTTACCTGACTATAAAATAGATTTAAAAAAAAAGAACACTTGAACATACGGCAAACATTTTATCTGATGAAAACTTGGAACACATGATTAACATTTTTTTATATGAATAGAGAAGAACTTGAAAAAGAGTTTTGTCATGAGTCGTGGTAAGCAATATTTTCTGATGAGAAAGCTTAATTTGAATTTTAAAGAGACTCCACTTAAATTTTTTGACATGACAGGACTGAAACTATTTTTTCAAAATTTGTGTATCATTTGATGCAGAACTGACCAATTAACATACATGTATGTGCAAAATTTCATATGATTTGCTCCGTCTGTTAGTCTAGAATAATCATTTTAATTGTGCAGATGACATTAATGGGCTAGGATTCTAGGAATCTCACACAAAGTAATTTTTAACTCGACTATATGAAGTATATGGAGAGCTGTCCTACTCGCCTTAAGGTATCAACTTCAAACTTCAAATATATGTTCCTTATCATCAACCACATCTTATGTGACAAAGTTCATAACTCTAGCACCAATATTTTCAGATAGATTTATCTCCCCTTGAACTTAAAAAATTACTATTTTTTAGTGTAAATTCTTTATTTCTTTAGGGATCAACTTCATACATCAAATATATGCACCTTATCATCAACCACATCTTATGTGACAAAGTTCATAACTCTAGCACCAATATTTTCAGATTTATCTCTCTTGAACTTAGAATTTTCCTAAAAAAAATACTATTGTTAGCTCACCTTGCACATAGTGCAGGTGAGCTTTTAGGATGGCCAATCATTTGTGCCCGTTGTCCGGGGTCCGTCCACATTTTATTCAAACGACATCTTCTATAATACCACTTGGCCAATACATGAATTAATGAAACTTGGCAGGAATACTCTTTGTATGAAGCTCTATCAAGATTGTTCAAAGAATGCCATTCCATGCTAAACTCTGGTTGCTATGGCAACTAAAAGAAAAAACTTAAAAGTTCTTATACTTCAAAAAGGAGAGGGCTAGGGCTTAGATATTTCTCACAAGGCATTAGCTTGTTGGTTTCTGCAAAGTATATTCAAATTATGGTCTAGAGCTGAAAATTGGTCTCTGTTTTGGGGGTTCAAGTGTTTTTTTATTGCAAGGTTATATAGACTTTCTTTGTAGGGATAAATTGAGATAGTGTATCTTGTATTTTTTGTCTCAACAGACATTGTTATGAAGATTTTTCTGTTAAAGCATTAGAAAGATGAAAAGGTTGTTGAATGTGAATGTTAATTCAAAACAGAGTCAATCAGAATAGCACAAATTTGAGAGCTACAGTGAAGTTGATTTCCCCATTCAATAATGGATTCTTCCATTAATTTCGTAACACCATCAGAAAGGAGACTGTGTCATTTCCGAAATACAATGTAAAATATTTCGGTTCTTGACAATGATTTGCACATTTTATTCTGTTAGATATTTTGCAAAGAAACGAAAGTGAACAAAAAATGTTGTATTTTTTTCACAAAAATTAGCTGATTAAGATAAAAGTTTAATTTACAGTACAGATATTATTTTTACATCCTTCCGGTTTGCTGGAAAAATCATATATTTCAAATACTTTTTCAAAGATGAATTTTTTCAGTGAATGAAACTTTTATTGAAATTTATGATAGATTTTGATGAGACAAAATTTTGTACATCTATTCTACAGTAAGGACAGATGCAAAGTGATGTTTTGGGATATGAATGTTGCGTATGCAAATGAGTACCAAAATATTTTGGTACCTTATCATTAACCACATAGCACCAATATTGCAAGAATTATCTCCCCATAAACATAGATTTTTTTTACTTGAAAAATGTTATTTTTTACTATAACTTTTTTAGTTTTAAAGGTATCTACCTCAAACTTCAAATACTTATTTCTTATCATCAATTACATCTTATGTGACAAGGTTCATAACTCTTCAGA